ATGGGTGAATGAATGTAGTGTAAAGCACTTTGGTCAAGTCTCCTGACTTGAAAAAAGGTGCTATATAAGTACATACCATTTACAACTTTACATCATTATTTATCTATTAATTAATAACCTACCATCTACTTGTTGGTGTTGAATTAACAATGAATTCACTTTGTTCCCACAATTTTGGGAAACAAAATCCAGTGAATTGATTAAAACAGTTTATATATTACATTATACTCCATACATGTATTTTTATTGAACAGCAGAACATCACATATTCGTTACCCAGCTTATTGTTAACCTTTGCAGATTTAAGAGTAGTGAATGCAGTTGTTTTTGTTTGCATCAGTGTGCATTAAAACATGTAGGAACAAAGGAAGCTTCATAGCAGCCTCAGTTCAAAGATTCGCCCCACTTTAAGACCTGCAGAGAAAAATATCTGGAGCCGCCACTGATTGGAAGCCAAAACAAAGGTTGGATCAAACCCCCAATTTCCTCTGGGATTTAGGAATCAGTAAAGGTGCAGCAGCATGGAGGAATATGGTGGCGCTGAGCCATTGAGAGGTTAAAACAACATCCCATCCTCTTCTGCTTATCCGGGGTCAGGTCGCGGGAGTAGCAGCTTCAGTAGGGAGGTCCAGACACTTAGGCCAGCTCCTCCGGGGGAATCCAAAGACGCCCCCAGGCCAGCCGAGAAACATAGTCTCTCCAGCGTGTCCTGGGTCTCCCCCTGGGCCTCCTCCCGGTGGGTCGTGCCTGGAACACCTCACCAGCGAGGCGTCCAGGAGGCATCCTAACATGATGCCTGACCCACCTCAACTGGCTCCTCTCGACATAGAGGAGCAGCGGCTCTAGTCCTCCCCGGTTGACAAAGCTCCTCCCTCCATCTCTAAGGGGGAGCCCAGACACGCTATGGGAAAAAACTAATTTCGGCCGTTTATGTCCATGATCTCGTTCTTTTGGTTAATGACCCAAAGATGAGGGTAGGAACATACAACGACCGGTAAATCGAGAGCTTTGCCTTTTGGCTCAGCTCTCTCTTCACCACGATGGACGGATACAGCACCAACTTCACAGGAGACACCGCAGCAATCCGTGTGTCGATCTCCCGCTCCATCTTCCCCTCATTTGTGAACATTTAAACACCAACGAAAGAAGCCAG